TTTTCTGAAGGAACGCACTAAAATAATTTCTTAAACATATCAGATTTATTTACATAAATAACAAAGTTTAATGAGTACTTAGGTTTACAAGGTATACAAGGAATGTAATAAACACATGTTTTTAGTAAAATATAACTTGGTATAAAAGAAATAAATTTAGCAAATTTAATAAATATCCAATATATCCTTAAAACACGCAAGCAAAAACAGTTATATTGTGCTATATACAAGAATAACATTTGGCGTACAACTTTTCAATATCCTTTATTATTTTTAAAGCTGGTTTGGAAAGAAAGGAATTGAAAAATGTTATTTTTTTTTTTAGGCCAAAAATGGGTGAAACCAATTTTTACCCTCCCCCCCTTCCATGTTCCCCTAGTTTAATCATGCTGGTTCGCGAACTCGTTTGAATAAATATGGAGCCAAACGTGTGTACAACAATTAGGAAAAATTTGATAATTTTACTCGGGTAATCGTGCTAATGGACATATATTACAAATATATTTGAGCGGATGGTGTTTTTGGCCTCTGGAGACATCAAAACGAAAGAATAAAAGCGATCCCCGATCTAAGTCTTACCATGAGACCTACGGTAATAGTTTATTTTCTACATGGGAAATTCGCTAAAACTTATGAAACTCACAACCAGCCACTGCTAAAGACCAAGGACTCCGAAGAGGAGACTCTACATGGTATTAAAACATATGCAAAGGGAAAAAATTGTCAACCCAATATTTTTTTGGAAGAGTTAAAATTCATAGAAGCCAGTTTGGTACTAACTTTGTACCACGAATAAATAAACTTATCTGTGAAAAGTAAGGTTTAAAATGAAGTAGGCTATGGTAAAATGTTCTGAATTTGAAATGAACCATTTTCTTAATAAGTAAAATTTAAATGTAAAAAATTACCTCCTATGCTAAGTAGGGTATTAAAATAAATATAGAATTAAAAGTATTGCAATTTAGAAATGTTTTTGATAGGAAGAGAAAAAAATCCTAGAAAAAGCTCTTACAACACTCTCTTATCCCTTTTCCTACGAGGCTTTGTACAAAAACATGTAAAGACTTATTTGAATTCAAACGAAGTACAGTAGTAGTAGTGTAAAAGCATGACACTGCTCGGAACATCTCATCTTGGTTTTTCGCAGTGGCTGTTTGAAACTTTTAAGAAGGACTTGATTGGTAAACAAATTTTATATTATTAACTTCCGTATGTCAAATTTTTGATTATGTGTCAAATTTGAAATATAAAACACTTTTTGTCGGTGCATCTTTAAACTGTCAAGCTAATCTGCATGTCTACAATAAAAGCTTAATGAGGTTTTGAAAAATTGTTATTTTCGACTTATTTTTTTCTGATACATTTTTAATCAGAAATAAATTTAAGTTCTTTACTTCTTTGTACAATAAATGAGCAAAGACTTATTTTGGTATTAAATAAAGTAGAGTTGTTAGCCCTACATTGCTGCAGGATTGGTGACTGTTTAGCTTGGTTCTCTGTGTCTCTCTCCTGTCAAAACTGAGACGGTACATCTGGGACGGTTTATTTACTATTTGTAGTGACTGACTAATTTAGAAACTGCCGACCCTTTGTAATCGATACTTATTTGGAACGTTTGGAAACAAGTTCGGCTACTGTTGAAAGCTGTTTATGAGGACAGGTTTATTGAATTTGATTTAAAACTAGTAGTTTTAAGCTTGGCTTTGAACGTATCAGACTAACATTGGAAAAAATTGTTAACGTTACTGCAGAATGTATTTTACTTATGAAAATAGAATTTCTTCTACTCTATAAGACACAATTAAACTTAACAAGTGGATTAAACAAATTCTGTCTATGTCATTCACCTGTTAGACAAAGTGAAGTAAAAAATAGCGTTTAAAAATGTTGAACATTTGAATGAAAACATTGTACCTGTCTTACTGTATATATGAAAACTTATCAATCAATAATTTTCATAAGATTGAAAAAGTAGCTTTGAAAGTTCAGAGACAGAGTCCTAAACTATTCCTTATAAAGATAAAATATGCAAACTTAACGAACTTAAAACGTGAAACTTATACAACTTAATATACGTAGCTTAATCTTTTTTCACTTACTATTTTTAGGTTAATAAATAACACTAAACTAGTTTAAAGCTGTAATAAAAATGTATGTTGAGTTTCAGGTTTGGAACGAATTTGAAAAAAAAACCATTTCAACTGAGAATCAAGGATTATTTTTTATTTAAACATTTAAAAATAAATTTGGTAATTAAGTTTTAGAAAATAAAATTATTAGAATCTGTGAATCGGTTATATTGTACATTTTCCCTATATTCACTCAACCCCCCCCCCCCCCCCCCGTTCTACCAATACAAAGAAACAACATTACAATTAATATACAAACAGGGTTGGGTACATGCAAACAATATTAGCATCAAACTCGAAAATGTATTCAGTATTTTAAGTTTAACTGAAAACAAAAATATGTGTAGACATCTCGATATATGATTTTGATTTATAGAACTCCCAAGTGAGACCAGACCTATTGGGATCTATGAAAAAAAATAAAAATAAACACGTGCCGTTTCTGATGAAATTAAACTAAAGTCAATGTGTATGTGTGTTAGTGTGTATTAATTATGTCCTTGCATGTTTGAGACCTTGGTCAATCAATTAAAAAATAAGACAAGCAATGTTGTTAACTATTGACGGTGCAGGGTTCTTAATATGTTTGGATGTTTCACATGTTGATATGTAACAATGCAAACGCAAAGATTTCACGCCGGTTTGTTACAACCCAACAACTGAACCAACAATCACACATGTTCAAGAATATTTCATGGCTTAAAACTCAACCCTATGATCTATTATCCAATCAAAACATTTTTTGTAGATGGTGGTTCAGGGGTAGTCAGTGCGCATGCGCAAGGCCTGATGAACGACATGTCTCACCACCGACAACCAGTCTCGTGCGACATGTCTCACCACTGACAACCAGTCTCGTGCAACATGTCTTACCACCAAAAACCAGTCTCATGCGACATGTCTTACCACCGACAACCAGTCTAGTGCGACATGTCTCACCACCGACAACCAGTCTCGTGCGATATGTCTCACCACCGACAACCAGTCTCGTGCGACATGTCTCACCACCGACAACCAGTCTCGTGCAACACGTCTCACCACCGACAACCAGTCACGTGCGACATGTCTCACCACTGACAAACAGTCTCGTGCGACATGTCTCACCACCGACAACCAGTCTAGTGCGACATGTCTCACCACCGACAACCTGTCTCGTGCGACATGTCTCACCACCGACAACCAGTCTAGTGCGACATGTCTCACCACTGACAACCAGTCTCGTGCAACATGTCTTACCACCAAAAACCAGTCTAGTGCGATATGTCTCACCACCGACAACCAGTCTCGTGCGATATGTCTCACCACCGACAACCAGTCTCGTGCGATATGTCTCACCACCGACAACCAGTCTCGTGCGACATGTCTCACCACCGACAACCAGTCTAGTGCGACATGTCTCACCACCGACAACCAGTCTAGTGCGACATGTCTCACCACCGACAACCAGTCTAGTGCGACATGTCTCACCACTGACAACCAGTCTCGTGCAACATGTCTTACCACCAAAAACCAGTCTCATGCGACATGTCTTACCACCGACAACCAGTCTAGTGCGACATGTCTCACCACCGACAACCAGTCTCGTGCGATATGTCTCACCACCGACAACCAGTCTCGTGCGACATGTCTCACCACCGACAACCAGTCACGTGCGACATGTCTCACCACTGACAAACAGTCTCGTGCGACATGTCTCACCACTGACAAACAGTCTAGTGCGACATGTCTCACCACCGACAACCTGTCTCGTGCGACACATGTCCGATACACAGATGATGTCAGGCATGTATTGCAAGCAATGTGTAAGCTCTGATTTGACAACACGGGTTGGTTTCACATTCATGTCTCGGACACGAAAGACATCATAGTCTTGATTCTACGACACCTGTCTAATTCTGGAAATCAACTAAAGAAATACGTATTTGTTTTAACATCCAAGCCCCAACTAGATGATGATAATGATGAATATATTTTTATTGACAATAAATAATAAATTTTGTGCAATGGTAATTATAAATTTTCCCGCTCACTGTAGTTTCTACAAAAGGTAGGTTGTCTATTAAGATTTCAAAAGAACAGGAGTGGGGACCCCCGTTCCCGCCACACCATTTCTACCCACCGTTTTGAATATTGTGATGGTAACATTGCCTCCAGACTACTAATAAATATTTAAATTGGTGTACATTTTTGGATTCTCACAGGATGCTTAATAACTAGCTATTGCCAATGGAACAATATTTTATACCAAACCAGAAAGTGAAATATTTTGATTGCCATAAGCAAATATTTGTACATCAAGGTCAACTATTGACAAACTGATACGGATTTCTTCCTTAATCAATTTGTTATCTCAGTGGTGATTCCAAAGGGAGGGCTATAGGGGCTAAAGCCCCCCTCCCCCAACCATTGGACCCTGGAAATATCAAATTAAACATACAATCGTCAAGAAAACATAACGGAGGTTTTTGGACACATTTCTTAACGTTAAAACTGGCTTTTAAATTCACCAAACGGTTTTCAAAATAGCAATTTCCCCCGGGGAGGACCCCAGAATCCCCCTTCTGCTGTGGAACACCTCCGTTAGCCCCCCCCCCCTTGACAAGGTCCTAGAACCACTGATCTTGATGAAAAATAAAAAAAAAGCTGATGGCAATACTCCATAAAACGGACATAATCACAGAAGAAATAACAATACAATCAACAGTACAAGACAACATTTCAGTCATCTTACACGACACATTTTTTAATTTTGAAACTTAACAGTGCCAATGTCGTTAGACATAATAAGTATCAGAGGAAGGGAGAAACGGTTAGAAGAGACAGTGATAGTGTGAAAATACCAGAGAATTTGATAATTATGGGTATACATACCTTGGGTATTTTAGCATATCGGCCTGTCCTGGTGTCTCTGATGGTAGCGATGTCCAGCAGATCAACCTCCTGTAACAATACAATACCAACTTAATACATTTAAATAGAAACACGTCTTTATTATTTTGAATAAAATGTTATGCGATTGTTGCAAAGATGTATTATCACTATTAGAACACATTACTATTAAAAAATCTTTACACGTTTTGGGAACTAATCCAATTCAAAGGTGAGGAAGTTATAAAACAAGATTAGATAGCATGCAAAATAAACCCAATATCATGATAACGAACCCAAAATATGGTTAGTTTAAAACACTTTGGAACACTACAAAAGGAAAGCTACACAGATATCATAGCAGTAAAAAAAGAGAAAAACTTCATGATACACATTAGTACAAAACCAGTAAGTAAAAATCAGTTATATTATTTGTCTAAGTTAAATTTAATTTTTAATGAAAAAAAAATGTGAAAAATGATTCTCACAGATATCTATCTATCTATACTATTATAAAAAAGAGGTGGTTGCTGTATGTGTGTATGTGTGTATGGGAAAAGTAAACTCGAAAAATACTGATCGGATTGGGCTGAAATTTGGCATGATGATAGCTCACATTCCCGATTAACATATAGGCATATTCTTATTTCAAAAATCCTTTCGGGCTCCGCCCCAGTGGCTCTGGAGTTTCCCATGTTAACCTTATGAGAAATGGAATTATTGAATCTTAACAGCTGTTTCAATTAAACAAGTTGGTTCTGTTCTATGATGTTCAATAGCATTAAAGTTACAAGGATTACCAACAGGGTGCAGCACTATTATTTCTTTTACATTTATGACAACAGCTAATTTGCAACCAAAAGGTGAGTGAGCGTAGCGAACGAACTTCAACCTGGAGGCGAGTTAGCGTAGCGAACGAGCTAACCTGAAGGCAAGTGAGCGCAGCGAACGAGCTCCAACCTAAAGGTGAGTGAGCGTAGCGAACGAGCTCCAACCTAAAGGCGAGTGAGCGTAGCGAACGAGCTCCAACCTAAAGGTGAGTGAGCGTAGCGAACAAACTTCAACCAGGACGTGATTGAGCCATGCGAACGAGATAATCTTGAAAATTAAGAAGTTAAACGGGGCAAAGCCCGCGGGTTACAGCTAGTTGTAATATAAAACTTTGATTGGCTACAATTTCATTCCTAAGTAAAAAAAACGATAGTGAAAAATAATTACAGTTTATTTCCAGCATTGTCCTAACTGCTTATTTTGTTGTTCACTTCCAAAAACTTCAACATATTCTAAACGAGAAAAAAATCTTTGACAATATCACCGACCAAAATCGCATTTGATCTTCAGAGCGCCCAATTCCCTAACACAAGTGTGTGGAATGGGCCGTTCATCAAAGCTGGTGAAAAATGTGGAGAAAGGTTAGAAAGTGATTACATTTGTGAATAATCTCTATGTGCTATGTAAAACTGTAAAAATCCTTCCTGCTTGTAGCTAAGGGTGAATGATAATGGGTGCGAGAGAATGTAATAAACGATGTAAGTTAAATGGGATTAACTACTCTCTTGACACAGCTCAGTATTTACTGTCTCAATCACAGCTCACAGTCAGTCTTGCCAACACAAAGTGATTAAGTTTACTTACAATCACACATTTCCCTTAAACCAATACCATGTTGCATATGGATCTCCTCACTTAATGACACTCAAACCTTTGAATTCCATTGATTATTTTGCAATTTCATATTTTTATCATGTAATTGATCATATTTACGTAAATCCAAATAGTTTAAAATCAAGTTGTCAGTAGACACACAGTGTAGGTAAGCATAAAGAAGTGAAATACTTGATTCGAGAACCAAATGACAAAAGAACCGACTATCCTGGTCACTTCCAACCAAGTCACTATTAATTTAAGCCACTTCCAACCAGAGTTCCTTAGATGCAGACCTGACTGAAACAGGATTCGAACCCTCAATCTCAGGTAACGCTAGCCAGAAAACAATGCCTCAGACTATTCGGCCTTAGGCTTAAGAGTCCTGTCTTAATTAACGCTAGTCAACCAAAAACCCAAGTGTAGTATGTCTAACCTAACTCCCGAACAGCACATGTCAAGTATAACAGCTGTTTGTTGACTTCTACTTGCGTAATTATAGTTTTGGGATCAGATTTAAGTTTGCCATTTATCTCAATCTTAGCGCCTGTATCTATATATTAATTTAAACTTGTGTGACGTAAACAAGAAAAATGCATTGTGTAGTGATAACCTAGCATTTATTTATAAAACGTTGACAATATTAGTCACAATTAAATCTGTATGAACAAGACAATGGAATCAACAGAAAAGCAAAACTGGACTATCTAGGAACATGAAACTCTCTGAACAAAATTATGTGAGGTAAACAAGCAAAATGCATTGTGTTGTGATAACTAGGCATCGATTTTTAAAACATTATCAATTTTAGTAGCAATTTAATCTATATAGGCTATAGTATGAACAAAACAATGGAATAAACACAAAATCAAAACTGTAGGCTACCATTTAAGAACAACAAGCTTTGTCAGACCGTGAGCTAATATACTGTTTTTTTTTTTTTTTTTTTTTTTTTTATGACAGGGGCATCCATAAAACGAAATAAGTCTACACAACAAAACAATGAGAACTACACTCGCCAATGCTGCAGATTAAAAATTAGTTAACATATAAAATGGGGCAAAATTAAATTATGAAATGTAAAAATCTGAAAGAGGTATTTTATAGACAAACAGCTGGTGTGAGAGGAGATATTCTAGCCTCTGTTGGGCAAAGATTTACAGGGGTGTGGGTTTTAATCTACTTACCCTCTTTTTTATTTCCCTGCCGATGATGACCTACTTCTGACTTAAAACTTTTGCTAAGATTAATTCTCTAACCTCTATGCAAAACGATTTTTTTAGAGTTTGAAATATACAAAGTGTATCAGATAACATTTGATATTATTTGAATTATTTGTTGATTTTCGTAGATTAATACAGTCTTTACACATTTTAGCGGAGTTTTTATAGTGCTCTCCTAATAATAATTTTGTCGGTTTGATTCTTAGGGTTAGTAATGGCATAATGGCTAAAGAAACCTCATAGACAGTAACCAATTCAGGCAGATCACCCATACAGCAACCACATTAAGCTTAAATACAAACACTTAATTCACTGTCTAAAAGTTATTACTAGTTAAAGTAATTATATATGGATGCTTCTCATAGGATCAAAATGTGATCAATAAAATATTATGTTTACAAAAACACACCTTCTAAGGGCCTCGTTCAACTGTTTTATTTTCATTACAAAAATGTTACACAGAGACTGGGAGATGTTTACTACAGTATCCAAAAAACGGATAGTTGTACAAATGTATCCACCTAAATTTATGGTTTGTTTTTTTAAGACCTGAGTGAAAATGAACAGTAGTCCGTGATCTAGGTTTTACCTTGGATATAGAAAAAAGTATTCTTTAAGACAAATTCCAAAAAATAAGACAAATATATACTTAAAAGTGTCAAAAAATATCATCAAAAAAATCTTTTTAAAAAGAAAAAATATCACATTTTATATGGATGAGGCAATTTTTCAGATAACTCAACACCAAGGCCATTAGCGCAAAGCGTTTGGAATGGAGAAATACTTCTCCCTCCTGAATAGAAAAATAGAGATACAAGTTGATGGAAGAATGTGTCCGTTATTGCTGTAGCAGGCTTCACTGGACCAATCACGCCGAAGGCTTGAGGCCATTGTCAGCTTTCATTTCACCCTACCCCCACTTACAGTCTGCTCCATAATGTCTAATAAAATGTGTCATGATTTTGAATAATTCTTTAACTGGTGCGAGGTTTTAAAAAAGGTTTTAAGTAACGTCAAGCCTCAGTTAAATATTATAAATTTGTCAGTAATAGTAATCATGAAAAAATTATTAGAGGAAAATATGATGCAAAATTATCGATAAAACGGACATCAAAATAGTATGTAGGACACAGTGGCGTACCGTCATAGTTGGGGGCCTAGGGCGGCTTAGATGAGAGGGCCTTACATACATATATATAAAAGTGAAATAATAAATACCATAGTAGGCCAACCCTGTTTAAAATCATTTTATCTTTCAAATGTTGTTAAACAGGGTACCATGTTGCTTATTTAAAAAGTAACCCTAAACAGTGATTAGAACTAAAAAGAAATATATGCTTTTAATGTATTTTGTATCACTGATTAAATGAGCTTACATCAACTATTTTAAATGTACCTAATCTATTTTTGTTTTTTGAGAAAAATTGAATGATGCTAAATTAAATTTTCCTTTAAGTTTTTATGAGTTTGAGATTCGAAATAAGCACGCAATCCAAGAAGTAACACAAATCAGGTTTTTTTCTGACATTCTTTCAATTTTCTATATTTAGGAGATAGGCATACTATTTTTGTATAAAATACATTATATAATTATATTAGCCAATCTTTATGTTATACATTATATTTTACTATGATTGGTCCAAACGATTTCTGTGATCGGGCAAAAAAGAACTAAATTAACCTCGGTGAAGACGAAATCGTGAGCGTCCGTGTTTGTGGGGTCGTAATCTCCGTCTCCCGCGGTCGCGCGGGTTATCTCCGCGACCGCGGAGCAATCGTAAACATGTCCTATGTTTACGGTGGAATAGTGAACATCTTTCGCGAACGCAGGGATATATTCTACATGTTGAAATCGTTAACATCTCCGGTAAACGCGTGGACAACATTACCGTCCCCCGCAATCGCGGCGAAATCGTCAACACGAAACATCTTTTGCGGTTGCAAAACCTTATTATCGTCACCCGCGATCGCTGGGAGTCGTGATTTTCGATCGCGCAATCTTTGCAGACGCTTCCGGTGATTGTGAGAACAGACGATTATATTCGACAGCAAAATTTATTTTCGGATTTTTGAGACCCAAGTAAGGTCCCTTCCTAGGCCAAGAGGCCCTCGGCAATGGCCGTGTTCGAAGTTAGGGGAATACAGCCCTGATTTGGGGGCCTATGTTGGTGTGGGGCCTGGGGCAGACCACCCCGCCGCCCCCCG